AGAGAGAGAGAGAGTTCTTTAAAGCAAAGACAGTGTAACGCGTTTTTGATGTGCGAAAGAGACGCCCACTCACCTAGGGAAGTAGTCCCTCCTGCGGGGCACACAGCAGCCATCCCCTGTCGCCGCACCGAGCAGCGCGCGTCCGCACAGCCCCCTTCCTGGAAGAGGAAGAGGAAGAGGCGCGCGTCCGCACAGCCCCCTTCCTGGAAGAGGAAGAGGAAGAGAAGGAAAAGCAGGCGTTATCCCACCTTCAATCGGATGCGGCTACGCGCTGCAAACACACACGTACCCGTTCGATCAGCAGCAGCGTGTTTGATCACGCGCTACCACCAAACCGCCACCAGTCGCGGTGGTGACAGAAGTTCAAGGCCGAGACGAGCCCGGCGGGCGGGCGCTCTGCTCGTCTCTTCTCCACCACGACGGCATCGTGCGGATCACCGGGGCGAAAAAACGCACGGCCGCGCGTCAGAGACGAGTTTCGCACACACGCAAAAGAGGGGTTCCTCGCATCCCTAGCTCACAGCTCGTGTTGGGAAACTGCGCTCGGCTAGAGCGAAGCAAAAAGGAGCATGCGACTCTCATTGGCCTCAGTTGGGTGACATAGTGCTATATAAAGTGCATAGCGGGCAGGCAGAAGCATCACAACGTCCCCGGCTCTCGTCAGTAGCAGCAAAGCAGCCCCCGGCCGCCATGAAGTCCATCGTGAGTTTCGTTCGTGTCCGCGAGGTTCCGGTCCAGATTAAGACAAGCGGCTAACGTCTCCATCTTTCATTCCTCCTGCAGGTCGTCGCGCTCGTGGTGCTCCTGGCAGCGGCGGCGTCGACCAAGAAGGTGGAGAAGCGCGGCCTGGGGGGAGAGGACGAGGGCTACTCGTACGGGCCCGCCTCCGGTCCCGGCTTGGCCTCCGGGGCCTTGGGCTTGAGCGCTGGGGCCAGCGCTGGCCCTAGCTCTAGCTTCAGCGTTGGGGCTAGCTACAGCGCAGGTCCTAGCCTCAGCGCTGCAGCTAGCTACAGCGCGGCTCCTAGCTACAGCGTAGGTGCTAGCTACAGCGCTGGTCCTAGCTACAGCGGAGGCGCCAGCTACAGCACCGGGCAGTCCGTGCAGGTGGCCGCCGCCCCCGTCGCCCTGCCGGCCCCGCACATCGTGTCCGAGCACCACCACACCAACATTCTGAGGAAGATCGCCGTGCCTTACGCCAAGCCCTACACAGTCACCGTGGAGAGGAAGATCCCCGTGCCCCAGCCCTACCCCGTGCCCTACAAGGTTGACAGGCCCTACCCCGTGGAGGTGCCCGTGCCCCAGCCCTACAACGTCGACAAGCCTTACCCTGTGCCCGTCGAGAGGCCGTACCCCGTGCAGGTGCCCCACCCCGTGCCCGTCGCCGTGCGCACCCCTGTGCCCGTGCCCGTCCACACCCCCGTGCCGGTGCCCGTCATCAACAGGGTTGCTGTGCCCGTTCCCCACCCAGTTCAAGTGCCTGTGATCGCCCAGAGCGCCCCCGTGATCGCCCACAGTGCCCCTATCATCGCCCACAGCGCCCCGGCCATCGCCTACAACGCCGCCCCCGCCTTGTCCCTTGGTAGTGCTAGCTTCGCTCCGGCCTTCAGTTCCGCCTCCTTTGGCGGCGCTCACCTCAACTCGGCATCATTCGGCGGCGCCCACTTCAGTGGGGCTCACTTCGGTGGCGCCTCCGCCGCACCAATCGCCTACGGCCAGTCCTTCGGCTACGGCGCTCATTACTAATTGCTCAAATTGAGTCATCAATAATTGCTTCGCCAACGAATTCCTAGTCAATTGTGATAAACCATGTAATAAAAATATAATACATATGGTATTTCGTGAATTTGTAAACCCTTTGATAAAAAAAATCCTTTAATATTCCTCTACACAGGCTGATACTATCAAAAATATTGCGTCAATACCTCGTATATAACTTTATTTTTACATGGCCAACATCTCTGGTATTATAAATGTAGATTCAACAACGCACTCCATGAGGGATCTTTGCCTAAAATTTAATTCACGCATCGCAATCCATCAACATGTTATTTAGCAACATGGTATGGTTAAGATACGCATGATATCGAAATTGTTTTCATATTGGATAGAAAATGAGCCGCTAAGAGAATCGGCAACAACGACAAATATACAGAAGTCCAATGGAGGTTTGGTTTAGCACATTTTACCACTTCAATTTACGATTTACAATTGACGTTTCGGTCTCGACACTGTAAAAGATAGTTGTATGAAGATAGTATTTTTTTTTCCAAAAAGTGTCTCGTATAATTACAATTCAAGATTGTAAAATTACAAGCGAGATTAAGGTATCATAAATTTACAACGTATTTGAAAATATTATTTACAGAATACATCGTAAATTTACGAGTGAGTTTTTGGTGCGGAGCAGGTTGACCTTTAAAGATACCATAAAGTTGGCACTCTAGCTCACTTCCTTAAAATGAAACATACGGAGACACAAACACCAGGTTGTTAGCATAAGCCCACATAACAACTTTAAATGAGAGCGGCAGAATTAAAACACAATGCAAAATGACTTAGTGACACCAGGTTTCGTATCACAGTTATATGTAATAACTGCAGAGCTATTTGCAGCACCAACATTACGGCAACTTTACGTCTGATATTGGTACCGCAGTTTACACGGCGTGATACAACTGTTACTGCAGTTTAAACTGTGATGCAATTATTGGCACTGCAGTTAAACTGTGATACAATTGTGGATGCAGTTCAAACTGTGACACTGTACGACACTTTGGTATGTACAGTTAACGTTAATTTTGTTTATAGAATCCTAATAGTATGTATTTAGGAGTGTTTAAGAGTTTAGGTATATTAACAAATGTTTATAGCTTTATATAACTGTTCAAAATTAAAAAGATTATGGATTTTTCATTTATAAATACTGCCATAGGATTGAGAACAACGGATATTTCATGAAGATTTTATTTAAACAGTTTTATCACAAACACTTTTGACTAACGACTATCCTGTAGCATGGTGATGATGCACGATGGTTCTAGATCTTGAAGGTCCACGAAAGATGTCTGGCAAGGGCCGGTTTAGCGCTTGCGAATGGGGAGAGTGCTGCCGAAGGAGCCACCGAAGGAGCTACCGAGGGAGCTGCCGAAGGAGCTGCCGAGAGAGCTGCCGAAAGAGCTGCCGAGGGAGCTGCCAAGAGAGCTGCCATAGCCATATGCGCCGCCGTAGCTGCCAAGGCTGCTGTAACCCAGAGAGCCGCTGCCAAGGCTGCTGTAACCCAGAGAGCCGCTGCCGAGGGAGGCACCACCGAAGGAGCCAAGGGAAGCACCGCCGAAGGAGCCGAGGGAAGCGCCACCGTAGGAGCCGAGGGAAGCGCCACCGAAGGAACCAAGGGAAGCGTCACCGTAGGAGCCGAAGGAGCCGAAGGAGCTGGTGGAGCCAAGAGACAGAGCGGGGGCAGCGCTGTAGGAGATGGCAGGGGCGGAGGCGATCACGGGGGCGCTGTGGGCGATGATGGGAGGGCTGTGGGCGATGATGGGCACGTGCACGGGGTGGGGCACAGGCACGGCAACCTTGTTGACGACGGGCACGGCCACGGGGGTGTGGACGGGCACGGGGACGTTCTCGTGGACGGCAACGGGCACGGGCTGGGCAACCTTCACCTCGTATGGCTTGTCGACGTGCACGGGGTAGGGCTTGTCGACGTTGTAGGGCTGGGGCACGGGTACCTCGACGGGGTAGGGCTTGTCGACCTTGTAGGGCACGGGGTAGGGCTGCTCAACGGGGATCTTCCTCTCCACGGTGACGGTGTAGGGCTTGGCGTAGGGGGTGGCGATCTTCCTCACGATGTCTGTGTGGTGGTGCTCGGACACGATGTGGGGGGCGGGGAGGGCGATGGCGGGTGCAGCAGCAGCGGTAACGGAGACGGAGTCCAGGGCAGCGCCGCTGTAGCCAGAGCCGTAGCTGGCGCCAGATCCGTAGCTTGCGCCGGAGCTGAAGTCGAGACCGGACTTGAAGCTAGCAGAGCCGGAGCCGTAGTTGGCACCGGAGTTGTAGCCGAGTCCGGATCCGAAAGTGGCAGATCCGGAACCGTAGTTGGCACCAGAGCTGTAGCCGAGTCCAGAACCGAAGTTAGCAGATCCGGAGCCGTAGTTGGCACCAGAGCTGTAGCCGAGTCCAGAACCGAAGCTAGCAGATCCGGAGCCGTAGTTGGCACCAGAGGAGTAGCCGAGGTCTGATCCGAAGCTAGAAGATCCGGAGCCGTAGTTAGCACCAGAGCTGTAGCCGAGTCCAGATCCGAAGCTAGCAGATCCGGAGCCGTAGCCAAGTCCGTTTCCGAAGTTGGAAACAGAGTTGTAGCCGCGGGACTTGACGCCTGAGTTGTAGCCGGATCCGGAGTTGGAGTCGACCTGGGTGCCGAAGCTGAACCCAGACAGGGCGCGCTTCTTGTGGTGCTTCTCCTCGGCGGAAGCAACCACCGCCAGCAGGACGACACAGGATAGGATCTGCAGGAAAATAAAGAAAATTGTAGTGAAGCGAAACCGACCTCTTAAACAGACACTAGCTTGCAAGCACATCTACTTACGAAAGTCTTCATGTTGTGAGGTGCTGCTCCCGAGCTGCTGCTGCTGAGAGAGCTGTAGTGGATGTGACGCTTCTGCCAGAGCACGAATCAGTTTATATAGTCCGCAGTTCCGCCAATTAGAATGCTAAGGTCAATGTCGGCTCGTATCGCATCTCTTCCTTTTTGGTCCAGTTCTGCCAACGGTTTGCGACGGGACAGTGGGTGATGTGCCTCTGTGCAAAGCCGTTGTTTTATTTCAAGGCCCGCGATTCGCTACAAGGTTCTCCGGATAATAATAGGCATGCTTTGCTTCCCTGTGTCGCAAAAAACGTTCACTTATACCTAATTGAGAGCATCAATACTTTCCAATGTTTATCAAACCAAAGAGGAGGTCGGAGAGGGGGACACCTAATGCATTTCCGTTGAAGGGTAAGAAGACCCTACGGCTTAGACCCCGCCCCCCCCCTTTCCCCATCCGTCTGCTATGTGAAGTGCGCTTTTTTCCTCCTATTGTATACTTCCTCACGCCCATCGCTGAAATAACCAATGACATAAACTTAATGTTTATGTTCATTTTTGTAATATTTTCACACATATCCAGAACTTTACACAGTTAGTTTGCAGGCTAAAGAGGTAAATTCAAGAAGTGCACTGTTTTTATTTCAGTAGGAAAAGCGTGCTGGCGAATCAGTGACCGGTCGCTGCTGTACAAGCCATGCTCTGTTAACAAAATATGGCAAGCAATAAACTGAGCACGGAAAAATTGGGGGGGATTCGAGCACCAAAATGACGTTTAGAAGGGTGCTAGACTGGCACTCAACGTACGGGAGGCACACGGCCAGCAACCAGAGAATCGTATAATGTAATCAAATAGGGCTACGTTGAATCGGCTGAATCAAAGCTCGACGAAATGTTTGCTTTGAATCAAACATTCTGCTCTGATCCGACACGGAAACAAATATTGATTCAATGATATTTTTGTCAACTCAATGAAGCACCTAGTTAAGCACCATTAATTAAATGTGGATTTTAGAATTAAAAAAAAATATTTCTGTTCTGTTTTCCTCTTTTAAAGAAACTATGCTCTGGGCGCTCTGGAAAAGCAAGTGTGTGAATGTCGCACACTTATAGGTGTGTGAACATTCATTCGTACACTTACAGGGGTAAACGTGTGAATCTTCTAGGAAAAATTCACACGTTTAACTCCTAAGCGAGGGGGTGATCAGTCATGCGAAATGTGTACAATGATTTTACGGAAAGTGACATTTTTTAAAAATTTTTTTTACTTTTTTGTGACTTTTTTGTGACTTTTTTGTGACTTTTTTTGGGGGTTGTACAATGATTTTTCGAAGTGATCCCCCCCTCGCTCCTAAGTGTACGAATAGATATTCACACACCTACAAGTGTGCGACATTCACACACTTGCGTTTCCAGTGCGAGGGCACACGCGCTTCGTCTGCATAGAATTAAAACGCGCATCGGCGCTGTATTTAGCTACCTCCCCTACATTTGCCTGAAATACGAAATAAGCAAACAAAGTGAGGTTTTCTGTAATACGGATGGAATTATCGTCCCTATAATATATAATTGCATCCGTAACAGAAACGATGCTTGATTCGTAAGAAATTGAGAAATATTTCTTTGCACGCTCTCATTTCTTTACGGATGTGCTACCCTTATGTTACAAAAATTTTTGTGCAAACGTAATAGGGATCACAAGGCATCCATAATACGGGTAAATTTGTCCGTATTATGGATTATTTGATCCGTATTGCCACAAGGTTTATTTCTTACGGATGAATGCATGTTCTTATGTAACTCAAATTATCTATAATACGGGCAATTTTATCCGTATTACGAATCATTTGTGATCCATATTCCGTTTGCACAAAATTCTCCGTAAAGAAATGAGAATGAACATTCTAGGAGTCACTAAGATTTTTGGTATGGGCAACCGACCTCGCTGTGAAGCACACATAAATGCAACAACACGAAAAACAAAAAGTTTGTATCCCGCACCCACAACTACGACGCAAGAACGGTGTGCAAAGCAGCAAAAATGCAATATACGCTCTGCTATATCCAGGCATCTGGATATAAATTATTCGTAACTCACCCGGTACAACCTAACCGATGGTTCACTTTGTAGACACGTTTCTTGTCTTATCTTATCTATTGATTAGCCAATTCTGCATTTTCAATGACTACGTCAATTTTCCATCTTCCCCTGACTTTTCACTGATATTCCCCGGACGATACCGTGACTTTCAGGCCGTGCTATCTCTGACTTCTTTGACCGGCGAAAACCGTGATAGCATGTTGTACCATCTGTGTGTGTTAATACGCCAAGACGAAAGCAAAACACTCAAAATTGACGAGTATGGAAGCAAACTGAAGAAATAATGGTAAAATGTCTATAGACGAGAAGAAAAAACATTTAAAACAAGTAAAATAGGATTTAACAGTTTATTTCATGATGTATCACATTTGACTAGGAGATTCTGAATGAGAAAACTGACAATGATTTCGTATAATAAATTAGAAATGAGCACCGTATCCATAGGAATGACCGTAGGAAAAAGGCGCGGCTCCCAACGACGATGAGCCGAAGTGGGCGCCCCCGAAATGTGCGCCACCAAATGATGCACTGCTGAGGTGAGCGCCGCCGAAGGAGGCGGAGCTGAAGGC